AAAAAAAAAAAAAAAAAGGAAAGACAGCCACAAGCCAAGGTCCAACGTGCGCTGACCAGAACTCAATCAGAACAGAAGGCAGCCCAGCAATTGGAGACAGCAATGGGCCCAGAGGAGGACTAGGTGGTGGAGGAGAGGGGCCGTATGGGACAATACGGGGCAGCTGCTGGAAAGAAAATAAGATTTGAGATGAGAGTATTGTATCAGTGTTTTATGTGTTGAGTGAAATATTGTTTTTTATTTGTGTGTGTGTGTGCGCGCGTGCGTGCGTGATTTTGAAGGCTGAACCCAGGGCCTTTGCACTGAGTTACATCTCTAGCTCTATTTTACTTCTAATTTTGAGACAGGGTCTCACTAAGTCACTAAATTGCCTAGGCTGGGCTTGAACTTGTGATCCTCCTGCCTCAGCCTCCCAGAATTCTGAGATTATAGGCGTGCGCCACCATGCCTGGCCAACATCCTGGTTCTTAAGAGTTAAAGGTTGAGCAGGGTATAGTGGTATACATTTGAGGCCAGCCTGGGCTACATGGTGACAAAAACAGAGATACAGGCTAAAGTATTTAAGGGTGAACTATCTCTACGCTTACAATTTATTCTTAAATTGTTCAGGAAAGAAAAAGTCTGTGTGTAGACAGACACCATGGCAAAAGGTCAGTCTTAGTGAATCTGTTAATAGACACATGGGTGTCCACTGTACTATTACAGTCTTTATGAGAGTTTGAAAACAAAATTGTAAGTTGAGAAAGATGCACTTGGGAGCCGAGGCGGGAAGATCAGGAGTTCGTGGCCAGCCTGGGGTACAAAGCTAGATCCTGTCTCAGACAAACAAAGCTGAAAAGGCACAGAAAGGCCCCCTGGCTTTAAGCCCCACCCCGACCGCTCCACCTCACTGTGGCCAGGCCTCCTCCCCGGCCAGGCCTGATCTGGAGCTCTCTGTGTCCCTGTCCTACCTTGGAGCTGCCTGGCAGCCTCCTCTGGGCAGATGTGGATCCAGGTGCACACAGTTGAGAAGGCCCTGTGTGGAAGTTCTGGTAGCGACTCCTCCAGACCTGATCCACACAGCCCCTGCGGCCACCATGAAGGGGCCCTGGATCCAGCAGAGACCTCATAGCTGGGCTCAGAGCCAGCCCAGGCCACCAGCAGGTGAAGCACAGAAACCCAAGGGCACCAGGGACCAGCCAGAGACCTGCAGCCTGCCCAGGAAGCAAGAAGGCACCTCCTTCCTGGCTACTGCCAGGGCAGG